ACTGATATCAGGGTTGGGGTAAGACTGAGAAAAACTGGATAAATTATGTATACTGCACTGAAACAGATGAGGGAGTGAATAATTTAAAAGTGATGTATGATAAGGTCTTATAGTTATCACAAGAGTCCACAATTAAAATTTATTTTTTTAAAAAAAGAAATCTATTTTACAGGGCAAATGTGCTGCAAAAGACGTTGCTGAAGTATTACAGGACTTTCAGTTGTCTCACATGCATGCGAAGGCTGCCAATGAGGAAGGAAGACAAAAGAACTGGTGCCCTTGAGGTTCTTACCATTAAGCTGAGCTCCTTACCAATAAGCGCTCAGAGCTTCCTTCTGACTTACTGTGGTGGTGTAGAATACCGAATATACCAGAACTAACAAATGTCTCGGAGGAAGTTTAGTCACAATGCTCCATGGAAGCAAAGAAGGTAGCTTCGCCTCATGTGCTTTGGACTAGAGAAAGCCCTAGGGAAGGACAACAGGCTTGGCACAGTAGAGTGGAGGGTCAGTGAAGAAGACAACCCTCAATGAGATGGACTGACACAGCCCTGTAACAACGGGCTCAGACAGCAACGGCGGTGAGGATGGTGCAAAACTGGTAAATGGTTGGTGCAGTTGTACAAAGGGTCACCATGTGTTGCTGTCAACTTCATGGCACCTACCAACAATTATGAAAACACAATTTATCAGCTGGTCCAACAGCAATAACAAACATGGAAGTGCTAACTGTGCTAGATCATGCTTTGGTTACCGGACATGTCTTATTTAATCCCTGAAACAACCTGAGATGTACACTACTATTATTTTTCATTTTCTAGATAAAGAAACTGAGGCACAGTGCTGCATTCCTGCTGGGGGTGCAGTGCAGAGGTATTCCGCAGCTTAACCCAAAGTCTGTACCCTCTCTGGTGGTTTGAATTCACCAGTGATTCTGCAGGAGAAAGATGAACAATCTCTTCCTGTAAGTATCACCTGCAGCCTCTGAAAACCCAGTGGAGGGGAAGGTATGAGTGAGCTCCAACTACATGGAAATGAATTCCGTTTTCTCTTGACCACTAGAGAGTATACACTGGGGCCAGGACCTGAACGCAAGTAGTTTCTAGTTGAGTAAAAAACCATGTAACTTCGTGACAAATCTGTTAAACAGTAGGAGATGGAAAAGTTAGATTCTTAAGAGTTGCAGATATCAGAGATATATGGGGCACTATCTTTAGTCAAGGAGCTCTGGTGGTGCAACAGTTAAACACTCAGCTGCCAACTGGAAGGTCAGCAGTTCGAACCTCCTCAGCTGCTCTGTGGGAATCTGGCACACTGCTTCTGAATAATTACTGCCAAGAAAAGCCCCTGTGGCTGTTCCACTCTATCACATGGGATTGCAACGAGTTGGCAATTGAATTCAACCTATCCAATAATAGCATCTCTAGTCAGTAGATATTAACTAAAAAGAAAAACCTAAGTTCCACTAGAGGGGAACAATCAACAATTTTTACTCAGAGTTACAAATATAATCTTGTGAGAAATAAGAAGCTGCACATGGTGTTATAACTGTAATAAAAAATACTCAGATGGTGTTTGTATGCATGATGTAGATGTTAAAAACAGGTAATGGAAAAGAGGAATTGTCAGAACTATAGAGATCAGAATCGGATCAAGCCATTCAAATCTCAAAAACCTCATTGCTCCAGTCAGATCTGATTTGATGGTACACATAAAAAATAATAAAATAAATAAATAAATAAAATTTTAAAAAAAACACAACAACCCTCACTGCTGTTGAGTCAGAACTGACTTAGAACTGACTCTATTGGATTTCCAGGCTCTAAATCACAAAGGAAGAGACTGACCATATTTCTGCACTGGGGCCACTGGTGGTTTCAAACTATCAAGCGCAGCCAGCCCCCTGTGGACTATGCTGTCAGAGCTCTGACCAGTTGAGACCATGAAAAGCCAGCCTGCGGGAAATGATCTGACAAACAGTCTGGTTTCTTCAAATAAATTCCAAGAAAAAGTGAAGGGAATCCATTACGGTTAATAAAGAAAGACACATATCAATCAATTTTAAGATAATCTCAATGACTCTTGAGCAAAGATAAAATTGATTAAAAAGGTGAATGGTAAATTGTTTTAAAACATTTTTAAAATGGCAAAATTTAAAGGTTGACTCTCATATCGAAAGATCCTCAAAAAGGCTGACTGACACGGTGACTGCAGTGATGGGTGTGAGGATGGCACAGAACGAGCAGAGCACCGACAGCCCCCTAACATAAGCAGAACCCTAAGGTCCACAACACCACAGCTCCCTTCAAACTCAGCTTGCTCATTAAAAGCCCCTGTTTAAGGGGACTCCAATCCAGAACCATCACACCAGAAGCTGTGAGGTCAGGGCAAGTGGCAGTGGCAGCTCTGAAAAACAATCCAGGTGGGCTGTCGGGACAGCAAACCATTTGTTCCAGAAGATCCTGCTCTTCAAGGTGTCGAGTAGCATACAAGGAAGGGGAACCTCAGGTTTGACCTCAGACCCGCTCAATCAGAATCTGCTTTTGAAGAAGCCCCCAGCCAGCTGATTTACACGCACATTAAACTCTGAGATGCTCATCTCTACATGGTCATTTACAAACAGGCCGCTGTTCTGCTTCTCAACTTCTACAGGAGAACCACCTGGAGCTGTTTAAATACAGTTGCAGCTCCTCTCAGGTGACTCATAACCAGAGTGGAGCCTCCTCTTTGTTGTTGACATTCTGTGAATTTTCACAGCATTGATAATTAGTGATGTTCAGCACTTCACAAAGTTGACTAACCAGTTAATTTTCTCTTACAAATTGTCACAGGAAAAAAAATACATATAAGCAAATTTCTCATGCTGTCACTTAACAGTGGAAATTGTGTAGAGATGAAATTAGAACTCATGAAGAATGAGATGCATTCTCTTGTCCCAATTAACTCTAGATAGAGTCTGTTGAGTCAGTATTTTAAGATTCTCAAATGATACAAAGAACTAATCCCAACTCCTCAGGAGGCAATGCCATTTAGTCCACATGAGAAGTCATCACACTACAGCGGCAACATGTCTTTTTGTGACAACACCAATTCACAGGTTCCTCCCTGTTAAACACACCTCCTAATGCTGTGCTAAGCTGTTATCCCATGACTCTGCCTCCAGCGTGCCCATCTACAAAGCAAGAAAACACTGTCCATTCCTGTTCCATGCACAAGATCAGCTTGGACCCCTGTGATCTGTTGGGATTCATGGACGGATTCTCAGAAGGTCACCAGGTCTTTCTTCCTAGTTCTTCTTAATTCAAAAGCTCCAGTGAAAACCATTCAGCACCACAGAAGTGCCCAGTGACACTGGTGGTGGCTGCTCACAGTATGTGCTGGCTGGGCAATGGCGTGGGGAAGGCAAGAATTCTACAGCTGAACCACCACTATCCTGAACACACCTGCAGGGTTACCGACCTTCCTACACATGCTCAGGGAGTGAGGGCAAAGGAAGGATTTTTCAAGAGCTGAACAAGAGAAGGAATAGACTCTGGATTAGCCGGCTATCACCTGTGAAGATGAAGTAGATAGTTTCTTATGCTTCCTCAACCCACCTGGGGTGCCCTCTGACTTCTGGTGGGGCAGTCGTTATTCTTTTTCCTATTTATTGAGTATATAGATTGAACACGTATGGAGATAGAATAATCCATTCCTGATGCACTCCCTTCCCAATTCCAAACCATGCAGTGCTCCCCTAATGAATCTGCACAAAAGCCTCCTCTGAGATTCCCATCCTTCTCAATGTCAGCCACAACTTGTCATTATCCACCCAGTCAAAACGCCTCTGCATAGTCAATAAAGCACAAATACACATTCTTCTGATGTTCCTTATTTTCAGCCAGAATCCATCAGACATCGGCAATGATATCCCTGGTGCCAATGGCTTCTTCTAAATCCCCCTTGAACTTCTGGCAGTTCCCTCTCTATGTACTGTCCCAGCCATTTTTTAATGTTCTTCAGCAGTATTTTGCTGGCGTGTGATATCAATGATATTGTTCAATAAATTCCACATTCAATTGGATCACCCTTTTTGGGAATGAGAACAAATGTGGACCTTTTCCTATCTGTTTCCCAGACAGCCATCCTCCAAATTTCTTGGCATAGACCAGTCCAAGGCTGCATCCAAGGCTGCATCTGTTAATTGAAACAAGTCAACTGGTATCCCACAGATTCCTGGGGCCTCATCTTTTGCCGATGCCTTCAATGCAGCTTCTACTTCCCCTTTCATTACCACTGGCTCCTGTTCATATGGTACTTCCTGGAATTTTTCAGTGTCAATCAATTCTTTTGGTACAGTGACTCTGTGTATTCCTTCCATCTTCTTTTGATGCTTTCTGGGTCATTCAATAAATATATTACTCATAGCATCACATCTTTCAACACTGTGACATGAGGCTTAAATTTGTTTTTAAGTTCTTTCAACTTGAGAAATGCAGAGTGAGTTCTTCACTTTTTATTCTCCAATTCCAGTTCTCTGCACATTCCATTACAATACTCTGCTCTGTCCTCCTGAACTGCCTTTTGAAACCGTCTATTCAGCTTTTACTTCAACATGTTTTCCTTTAGATTTGGCTTCTCAACGCTCCAATGCAATCTTTAGAGTCTCTTCTGACATTCATTTCGGTTTTTCCTTTCTATTCTGTTTTTGTAATGACCTTTTGCTTTCTTCATGGATAATATCCTTGATATCATCCTACAACTCATCTGGTCTTCTATCAATGGTGTTCAAGGCCTCAAACCTATTCGTAAGATAATCATCAAATTCTGACGGAATTGACTCAAGATCACATCTTGGTTCCTGCACAATCTATATACTGAGCAAATTATTCAAGAAGCTGGATTCTATGAAGAGGAATGAGGCATCAGGATTGGAGGGAGACTAATCAATAACCTGCGTTTTATGGATGACACACCTTACTTGCTGAAAGGGAGGAGGATTTGAAGCTCTTGTTGCAGAAGAATGCAGACTTCAGTATGGATTGCATCTCAATATCTAGAAAACAAAGATTCTTACCACTGGACCAATAGGCAGTGTCAAGATGGACAGAGAGGAGACTGAAACTGTCAACAGCTTCATCTTGCTTGGATCCACTGTACTTGGTGCAAGCAATCAGGAAATAAGGAGACACAGTGCAATGGGAAAATCTGCAGTTAGGGATCTTTCCAAATTATTGAGAAGTAGTGATGTCAGTTAGAGGACTAAGGTGTGTCAGATTCAGGCATGGTCTTTCTGATTGCTGGCTATACATCCAAGACCTGGACAATGAATAAAGATGACAGAAGGAGAACTGACGTCTTTGGGCTGTGGTGTTGGAGAAGAGCACTGAACATCCCATGGATGGCCAACAGAATGAACAGATATGTCTTGGAGAGGGTGCAACTGGACTGCCCTCTGGAGGCAAGAATGATGAGGCTTCGCCTCGCCTACTTTGGACATGTTGCTAGGAGGTGCTATTCCTTGGAGAGGAACATGATATTCAGAAGGGTGGCAGGTCAGCAATGAGATGAAGACCTTCAACTATGTAGACTAACAGGGCGACTGCTGCAATGGGCTCTTGTGTGTCAGGAAGTGTGAAGATGGTGCAGGACATGACTAGATTCAGATCTTTTGCTCATGGGATAACGATGAGTCGTACTCAACTCAAAGGCACCTAACAACCACCACCACCACCACCACATTTATTGAGTATTGATTAATGGCCAGGTACAGGCGTAGTACAGTACAAAGGATACAAATATGAGCAAACAGGGTATTCCTGTTTTCAGAGCTGATAGTTGAGGAAACAAATGTTAATCAAATGAGACACAATTAAATCAACTCATGATCACAGATGTGTTGTGAAGAGAATGCACACGGTGTGATGAGAACTTGTCCCAAGCAGATCTGATCACGTCCCGGGAAGGGACACTTGAGCTGCACTCTAATTTACCACCACCACCACCAAATTAATATAATACGGGGGAAGTAACTTCACCAAAATAGGTACCCAATTAGGATCCAGCACTGGCAAGACATGTGATCATATCAGTGCAGCCAGAGGGCTGTAATGCCCAGTTGGAGACTTGGGCAGGAGGCAGGCCAGCTAAGTGCCTTGTGACACTTGTAAGGGTTTGTCCTTCATACCAAGGATAGCGGAAAGCCACAGAAGCAGGGCTAACTTGATGAGATACACACTGGAGCTGCCCCCACTGACTGCTGTGTACTAAGTTGATGCTTGGTGGATTAGCAAACATGAAGACCAGTCAGGTAACTACCAGAGTAGCGCATGGGCTGAAGCACAGCAGGGCCAGGGGGCTGTCCCAGGATGGGGCAGGGTTCATTCTATGAGGCAAGTTGACTCCACGACACCTAACAGCAAGGCTGTCCAGCTGAGAAAGATGCTTTTCCTGGAGCATCTCCAAAGATCCTTGCAAATGTCTCTGGTTGATCAAAACCGGAGCTGATCTGCTGAAGAGGACGATTAGACACACGAAACCACTATGAAGGGCTCTAGGCAAACATTTCCCCAACGGATAAGATGCGAGCTTCTAAAACCAGATTATGCAGCATCGTGCTTTGAAAATATAAGATGGATCACCTCACGCCTCAGCTCAAACTGTCTATCACTGAATTGAGGAGACTGAGTCCTTAGTCTAATTTTCAAGAAAGCCATGGGCCCATCACAACCAGCCCCTCACCTGCTTTCCCACTATTTCCTCCTGGCCCCAGACACAAGTCCACCTCAGGGCCATGGCCTTGCTAGTCCTTCTGGTGGGCCTGCTAGGCTCCTAGGTTTCTTTAGATGCCCAATCCCCTTTTGGCATTCCTGTGCTCCCTGTCCCATCCCAATTTGCTTTTCTCTGCAGCATTCAGGACCTTTCAGAATACTGAAGCCTACTTATTGTGCTCTTAACATTTCTCCCCACCTAAAATAAAAGTCTAATGTGTCAAGAAGTGTGACAATGGCACAGAATAGGACAGGACTCAGATTTGTTGTTCATAGGATCACAGTAGGTTGTACTTGACTCAACGGCACCCAATGACAACAAAAGTCCTGTGACGAAGAGATTCTTTGCCTATTACTGTACCTCCAGTAGCCTGGAAGGCACATCGTTGATCTTGTTGTTAGGTGCTGTCAAGTTGAATATGACCTCATAACAACCCTATGAACAATCAACCTGAACACTGTCCTATCCTGTGCCATCCTCACAATCTCCAACCCATTCAAGCCCATTGCTGCAGTCACTGTGTCAATCCACCTGGCGGAAGGTCTTCCTCTAGTTTGCTGCCCCTCCGCTTTTCCAAGCATGATGTCCCTTTCTAAAGAATAACCTCTCTTAGCAACATGACTGAAGTATATGAGACGAAGCTTCATCATCTTTGCCTCCAAGGAGCACTGTGGCTGCACCTTCTCAAAAATGTATCTGTTTTTCACACAGGACGCACTCTAATGTTGACTCAATAAATAAAGTGATCAATAAAAAGAGGGAAAAACTATACATTTGGAACTGCCTCTGAAAGCTTTCATTGGGATTACAGACACAATAATGACACAAATGAAAACTTCTTAAAGACACCAATTCAGTTTTGAATATATTACAAAAGACCAGAAGTGCTAGTATTGAAATAGAAATACTGGAACCTACACAGACTGCTGGCGGGAATGAAAAATGGCAGTTTAGCAGTTCCTCAGAAAGTTAAACCCAGAGCTACCACACAACCTGGCAACTCCACTCCTCGGCGACATGCCTGTGAGAAAAACAGGCACCCACATGAAACCTTGCACACAAGCATTCACAGGCCCACAGCACTGTTAGTCATCACAGCCAAAAAGTGAAAACAGCCAGGATGCCGAGGAGCTAACAGGCGACTAAGTAAAACGTGGCTCATCCTGCATCCGAATGTTATTTGATAAGAGACGGTCAAGTTCTAATATATGCTATAAGACGGAAGGATACTGAGAACATTATGCTGAGTGAAAAAGCCAGCTGTGAGAGACTACATATGAGTCCATGCATATCAATGTCCAGAAGAGACAAACATGTAGAGACAAAAGTGAGTGAGCTGTGAGCTGAAGGGGAAAAGAGGCTGGAAAGGAATGAGGAATAACTGTCAGTGGGTCCAGGGTTTCTTTCTGGAATAATGAAAATGTTCTAAAATCAACTGTGGCCATGGTTACACAAGTCTGGAAATAAACTATGAAACACTGTGTACTCTAAATGGGTGCACTGTATGGCATGTGAATTCTCTCTCAACAAAATGCTGTGTTTAGCAAAAAAGAAGCATACTGAAAGCTTACCTTTCACAGACTTTGTACTCCTCGTTGACACTCACTGCTTTGTACTTCATGCTGCCTTTGGTCCGCTCCAACTCCCAACACCAGTCTTTAAGTGTGTCAAACATTACAGTCTGATTCTCGGGATCTGGGGCTAACAAAACAAAATGATGAAAGGTAATGAAACATTTTCTTCAAGTATTCCCCCTCACATCGTGTAACCCTGGTATGTCCACTTGCTGTACAGAGGTAACCTGTGGTTGCTGTGAAGCCAAACTCTATGACACTGATGTGTCAAATGCAATAGTGGTTATCTGTGGTGGACAGTGTTTGCTGAAGCTCCCCGATTAAAACAAGCTTGGAAGCAGGAGTGGCATCCACTTCCACAATAGCTTGTCTTGGGAAACCTTACGAACCTGGAGAAAGGATGAAAGTTCTACAGGAGGTGTCCAGGACTTTCGTTCATAGGGTCGCTATGAGTCACCTGCGACTTGACGGCATTTAACAACATTCTCCCTCACTGCTGTCAAGCTGGAACTGACTCATCACTGATCTGCCACTGAGTTTCTGAGGCTGCAAAGCACATGGAGGAGACTGGCCATCCCTCTCCTGAGGAGCCCCTGGTGGATTTTAACCACCAGAAAGGCACTGCCCTAGGGTTGGCAGTGTAGCTCCCTATACACGAGGTCATTACAACTCCCTTCTAAATTCATTATCATGGAGTTGCACCAACCCCTAGCTGACCCTCCACTGGACTTCTGAGGCGGTAAATCACACAGGAGGAGACTGCCCAGCCTTATCCTCTGAAGCCAAACTTCATGATTTGAACGTCCAGAGAGGTATGACTCCTTAAGGACTACATCACCAAACTCCCTGTTGTTGTTATGTGCCTTCGAGATGGAACCAACTCACAGCTGACCCTCCAGCAGGTTTTCATCACACAGGTTGTAAATCACACAGGAGGAGAATGCTCATATTTTTCCCTAGGAGCAGGTGGATTGGAACTGCTTGCCTTTTGGTTGGCAGCACAGCTCCTTACCACTAGGCCACAAGAGCTCCCTTTTCCTAGGTGCAGCTTTTTGGGGAAGCACCAAACTGCCTTCCATAGTGGTTGTACCATTTTATAATCCCACCAACAAAGTATAAGGGTTTCTTTCTCACCACATCCTTCCCAACATTTGTTGCTTGCTGTCCTATTAAACTTTACCACTCTAACTGGAGTGAGATGGTACCTCATTGTGACTCTGATTTGCATCTCTCTTATTGTAAGTAATTTGGAGCATTTCTTCATGTATCTGTTTGCCATTTGAATATCTTCCTCTGTGGGTAAAAAAAAAGAGCTCCCTTTTTTTTTTTTTTTTCCCCCTAAGGGCAAGTATCCTCATTATATAAAGGTATATTCTTAGGCCCAGTTTCTTCCACTATACTCATTTACACACAAGCATTTTTATTCACTGCTTAACCCTAACTTTGTTCTTCCTTTTAAAAGTTAATCCAAAGGTATGACTAAGGCTCTGTCTTTTTTACATTATAGAAAAGAAATCATCCTTCCTTCTGTTCCTAGCAAGAGTAATTTATAGCTTCATTCTTCAGTCATCTGACTGTGAGATAACTTATATAACGCAGAAAAGATCCTGTGAAGCATTAAAAGATAGTTTGGTACATATGCTAAAATAATACTGTATTTTTAGCCCTATCAATACGTGCACAAGCCATGAACTTAAGATGAACAGCAAGTCAGGTTCTATTACTTTTCATTTGCATTGTGCTTCTTACAATCATTCTCATAGACTATGTCTTATAAAATGAATCATCACTGTTCTATGCCCGCTTTTACCCCGACTTTTCTGATCCCCACTGGATCTTTCTTAACTCCTTCATCACTTCCCTCCACCCACCAATTTTGTGACCCTGTGATTCTCAGACCCCCTGCTCTCCACTCTCAGCCCTGGTTCTTAAATGTAAGTGGTCTTTCCATTTGAAGACACACTGCCAACATAGAGATTTTCTAGAGTGGCTCTTGGCTAATAAAAATCATATGGTAGCCATCTGGGTGAGGGTCTGCATGCTGGGAGCTGCAGTACGGTGGGGCGGCCTCTCTGCTTCTGCACAAGGCTGCCGGAAGGAAATGCTCCCGTGGCCTGGCAGACCTGTCCCTGGTCCTCTCCCAGGCCACAGCCCTGCCTGCTGGAGTTGACATCCACCATAAAAGTCTCATATTTATTTACACAAACTCCATCGCAAGCCAGTCAGTTCAAGCCTCGGTAAATTTAAAAGACTAAGCTTTCTAAAAAAAAGAAAAGTGTTGGATCCTTTTCCGGTTCATACGAATGATGATCGGGAGTTCATACGTCTGTATGACATGTGCCACCTACTAACCTTGTTACGACGGAGGCACACTACCCATCTGACATGGAAAAAAAAAAGAAAAAAAAAGGAAAAAAAAGAAGAAAAAAAAAAGTGTTTGACAAAATTCCTACCTGCTTCCTTTAATAAAAGCAGTTCATAGCACAAGCTATGCTTACAAAGCACTTAGTGTCTGCCAGCAACTATTCTAATCATATTCTTTTTTAAATCCCAACTTTTTATTGTGATATGGGTGCGAATTTACAGATCAAACTGGTGTCTCATCCAACAGTTCAACTTCTGTTTTGTGGCACTGACTATGACCCCCACAAGGCAACACCACCCATCCCGCTTCCTGTCTGTTTCCTGTTTTCATCTGTCCTCCTTTCCTATCTCCTCTCGTCTTCCCCACTGTATCCTTGGGCAATGCTGCCTTTTTTGGTCTCATATGCTCAGAAGTTCTCAGGAGAGTGTGCGACTCCCTGGAGTTACTGTTCACCTTACTTGTCTGCCCACTGTTTGGTTGACAGTTGAACCACGAAGGCGAGCTCAGTCCCAGGTCTGAAGGGTGACTACAACTAAGGGCCCTGGACTCAGGGTTCCACCCGGCACTAGCAGGCCAGTAAGCCTAGCCTTTTTTCTCTGTATTTTCCTTCCACCCTCCCGAGGCCCTTCTAACCATGATCTCTTTAGAGGGTCAGGAGTGGCACTCGGGCACCATCTAGCTCTGGTCTTGGGTTGGGAAGACTCCAGGGAGTGTGTGATCCATTAGATATGTGAACGGATTGTTTCCATGTCTGATTTTCTCCACTCTTCTTTGCTCCAGATGAGGAGAACTCAAAGCTTTCAAGACCACAGATGAAGACCATGACAATAAGACGAAGAATACTGTTTTTCTGGACTATGTTGTGCCAAAAGACCTTGAGATCCCCTGAGACTATGGTCCTCAGTACCCAGGACCAAGTCCCCCCAGGCTGCCCTCCCCCCACCCCCAGTCAATTCCTTCCCACAAGGTGTTTTTTGTTTTTTTAAATTTTTTTTAATAATTTTAATGAACATTTACAGAGAATTTGGATTTCCATTCATTCATTGCTGCACTTCTCTACCCGCCCCCCAGTTCGCTCCTCTCTTTCAAAAGTAAAAGAAAGACTCCCTCCCTGATACACAATCCCCCCGCACCCCTCCCAATGCCCCAAGTACATTCCACTATGCAGCCTTAATTGTGGACTCCTGTGATAACCATAATACCCTATCATTGCTTTTAAATTATTCACTCCCTCATCTGTTTCAGTGCATTATACACAATTTATTCAGTTTTTCTCAGTCTTACCCCCACCCTGATATCAGTCCCATTTTACAGCAGTGACATCATGCAATATTTGTCCTTTTGCAACTGAGATATTTCACTCAGCATAATGTCCTCCAGGGTCACCCATTTTGAATAATATTGAATGAGTTCCTTGTTTTTCAATGCAGCGTAGTATTCCATTGTGTGAATATACTACAGCTTCTCTATCCATTCGTTTGTTGATGGGCACCTGGGTTGTTACCAACTCCTTGCTATTGTGAACAGAGCTGTGATAAACATGGGTGTGCATGTATCTACTTGGATGTCAGTTATGGTCTCTTTGGGATATATTCCCAGTAGTGGAATTGCTGGGTCAAATGGTATCTCTATTTGCAACTTTTTGAGAAAGCGCCATACCGCCTTCCACAGTGGTTGTACCATTTTACATTCCCACCAACAGTGAATAAGGGTTCCAGTTTCTCCACAACCTTGCCAGCATTTGTTGCTTGCTGTTCTGTTAAATTTTGCTATTCTGACTGGGATGAGATGATATCTCATAGTTGTTTGCCACAAGGTGTTTTTTATGGGTAAGAAGTTTTTACCATTTTTATGCTGTGTGTCCTACTTTATGGATATATCAGTAAGATATATAAACACGTATGCACAATCATCCTCTGTCAAACCTACACGTGCACGTTCATGTCTGCAGTCCACTCCCCCTCCCACACCAGCCAGGCTGTGTTCTCTCTGCATCCACGTGTAGATATGACTGTTACTGAAGGAGTGCACAGGTAAACATTTACCTTTTTTGGCCTTTAACAATCTTGTGCTTCTCTCAGTGTCTTCCTTTGCCTTGATCATTTGGGGTAATCATATTCTATTTTGTTAACTCAACCCTCACAATCGTAGAGGGTTTTAGTTGCTGGTAGGTGCCATCAGATCGACTACGCCTCAGTGACTCTATCAACAACACATCTGAACTCCGCCCTATCCTGTGTCATCCTCACAATCTCCACCGTGCTCACGGCCATCATTCCAGTCACTGAGGGGCAGGACACCTTGTTAAGGGTATATCTCTCTTCTGCTGACAGATTATCTATGTTTCCCATTGTTGTTGTTGTTAGGTGCCATCAAGTCAAGTACGACTCATAGTAACCTATGAACAAGAGACCCGAGCCCCGTCCCATCCTGTGCCATCCTCACCATCTCTGACACAGGGGAGCCCACTGTTGCAGTCACTGTGGCGATCCATCTTGTCAGGGGTCTTCCTCTCTTTTGCGGACCCTCCATCTTTCTAAGCATGATGTCTCTCTCCAAGGAATAGCCTCCCCTAGACATATGCTCAAAGTACACAAGACAGAGCTTTATCATCTCTGCTTCCAAGGAGCACACTGGCTGCACCTTCTCCACAACATATCTGTTTTTGGCAGCCCATGGGATATTCAGCACTCTTCTCCAACACCACAGCTCAAAGGGATCAATCCTTCTTTTGTCATCTTTATTCACTCTCCAGCTCTCAG